ACTTTATATATATATATATATACATATATATATATATACATATATATATATATATATATATATATATATATATATATATATATACATACATATATGACTGGCTAGCTGACTGGCTGGCTGGCTGACCGACCGACCGACTGATTGTTTGATTGATTTATCTCATAGTATTGTGTACATGAGAAAAAATCCGATTAAGCCAACCTACGGCTTCAGTAAGCCACTTCACCTGACAAAAGCAATTTCTATATTTATATTGACAAAAATAATTGTGATATGAATATATTGATTTATTTAAAGCATTATATGTACAAAAAAGTGCTATCGTAAGAGTTCTATGAAACCCTGTAAGCCACTGCTGTAAGCCAACGTATGATTTCAGCAGCCAGTTTCGTATGAGCACCAGCAGAATGTAAAATATTCATTGAATATAATGAAGATAGTTGTTCAAATAACAATTTTGATTTATTTAGGCCGTTTATTTCATAAGCAAACCAATTTTTAACATGATCGAATAGTGTAAAAAAAGGGTGACTATAGTTCAATGCTACTAAGCCAACCTTCGGCTTCAGTAAGCCACCGGATTTCACCGGACCAAAAGCAATTTTTATATTCAAATTAACAAAAATAATTTAATAATACATAATTCTATTAATCATTATTAAAATTAAATAGAATTACAACAATGTTTTTAGCATATTAAATCAAGTAAATATCTCATTTAGCTTGCTCGTTAAAATCCATGCAATTTCGTAAGCCAACAATCCAAGCACGACAAATAGCCCGACCGATAGATCGAATTGATCGATTAGTCCTATTATTCTAGTTATGTGGTTTGGAGCAAGGGGAGACATTACTGAAAATAATTAAAAGTTGAAAAAATTGAGGTTCTTTGCATATCTCTGCTTCAACCCATAAGAAGGTGTTGTATGCTGGTAAATAGGCCTCCCCTTGCTTTGTACCCGTTGAGAAATGTTATAGTTCAATTTCTAAAACTAAATAGATCTACCCGCCGGTTATGAAGTAAAAATTTTAAAAAATAAGCGGTTTTTTGAAGAATTTTAATTTTTAAATGTTAATGACTTTAAAATTGAAAAACATGAATGAAAGACGTTTAACGAAGAAAAGAATAATTCATACAACATAATGTTATAGTTCAATTTTTAAAACTAAATAGATCTATCCGCCGATTATGAAGTAAAAATCATGGAATTATATAACTGGAAGCGCCCTACCAGCGTTTTAACATTGAAAATTTTTTTCAACGGCAAGTTACCTCTGGAAGTAAGTTTCTAAAAATTAATAATTTGTTTTAAAAGTGAAACTATCTTTTTAACAGATACGTTTAAAATTTTGTTACACATTTTGTAATGTATCATATTTTTATAACTTTATAGAGGTTTTGTGGTTTTTCTAGTAAAAATTGGTTTAAAATTTTTATTTTTAACTTTTATTATAAGCTTTTATTATTTAGTTTAACTTTTAGTTGTACCGTGGGAGGAACTTATGAGTCTCTTTAAACTGTTGACTATAAATAAATATTGCTGGAAAAACCACTTTGCCGTCTCCGAGATTACCTGTTTGTTGTTTGTTCTGGCTACCATTGGCATTGAATGATTTGTTTGGATTGAAGATAAAATTAAAATTAATTTTTTAGAGATTTATTTGTAACAACTTTTGAGATAAACAACAATGGACGCTGTGAGCGCCATGCGAAAGTACATCTCGAAGATGATTGACGACAGTGGGCCTGGTATGAAGATTCTACTGATGGATAAAGAAACGGTTACTAACTAGTTTTATTTTAATTACATTTTATTTACTACCTACGCTCTCTGAGTCATCGTTCATCATATCTCCATCATTCACCATATCATCAGCATCATCACCTCTTCTCCATCGTGACTTAATCTTAATTTACTGACTCAGTGAATGACTGTATCTGTCTGTCGTTGTTCATCTTATGATCACTCTTCAGCTACATTTTCTCCTTTTACACCTCTTACTTTCTGATATGCCAGTTAATTTAATTCTTACTAAAACAATAATCCTACCATTTGTGGCATTCATATGTAAATTATTTGATAAATTTAAAATTGTCTTTTTAATTAATTGCTATTAATTCATTCTGTTTTTTATTTCATTAAAATAATTGGCCAATTAGCAGTTAAGCTGATCAAACAAACATTAATCCAAATAATTATTTGCTAAAAATGCATTTATATTTCTTAACAAATAATTATTTTTAAACTTGATAAAAATGTAACTTGCTGTCATTGCTTTACAGATTGGTATAACAAGCATGGTGTATGCACAGTCAGAAATTCTTCAAAAAGAAGTTTTTTTGTTTGAAAGGTTGGAAGTTCCCGGCCGAGAGAGCATGAAGCACCTCAAGTGCGTTGTCTTCGTGAGACCCACCAAGGAAAATATTGAACTGCTCATACATGAACTCAAGGCACCCAAATATGGATTTTATTATATATGTAAGTAGGTCACCAGTTGGATGTGGGTTGTATTGTGTATGTTAGTAGGTTACTGAATAATTGAATGACTGATTGAATAATCTGTTAATTAATTAATTAAATTGATTGATTGATTAATTAATTAGATTTCAGTAATGTCATAAGCAAGCAAGATGTGAAATGTTTGGCTGAGGCTGATGATCAGGAAGTAGTTAGGGAGGTTCAGGTGAGTTCTGATTGGTTGAGAAAGTGAATGAATGAATGATCAGATAAATAAATGAATGAGTGAACAAATAATTTATAGTTCGCTTTCTCAAAATATAATCCATAAATAATATGAAGGAGTTTTTTGGTGATTACATTGCTGTCAGTCCTCACCTCGTTTCCCTCAATTTGATTGGCTGTCGTCAGGTTTGTGATGATGGCAATGATGTGATGATGATTTTGATTGCAACCTAACACAACATTGACAACGACAACACCACCACCAACAACAACACAAGAATGGACAGTGGAGCCAGGAAGGTCTGCAAAGATGTGTGTGTGGTCTGACATCCTTACTTCTCTCACTCAAGAAGTGTCCTGTCATTAGGTTGGTTCTCTCTGTGTGTCTTTGTATGCGTGTGTGTCTGCTTGTTCGAGTGCCTGCTTTTCCATATATCTGTTTGTGTATGTTTGTGTGAAAATGCCTGTTCGTGTTTTTATGTAGGCCTTCTCCTGATCAACTGCTGATAAATTCCCAAACAACTCCTAACTAACATGAATTAGGTACCAAAATTCATCAGAGATGTGCCGAAGGTTGGCCGACAGTGTCAAGGTTGGTGCTCCTTCAAGTTGAGAACCATTCATCCGAATTGACCAACTTGAATTTTAAAATTTTATTATCATTGTCAAACAATCAATCAACCATTTAACCAAACCATCTATCAATTTTTTAGCATTTGAACATTTTATTCAAAGAAAACCAGATGCCCATTGTGGTTTGTATGGTTCCTAAAAATAATGATGACGAAAAATGATTCCGATGTAAATCGATTGATCAATTGTTTAAAGTTAAAAAAAGCGAAATGACAAAAAAATAAACGATCGTACAGTCGCTAAAATAACGACAAACGAGAAATAATTAATATTTAAAATTGACTGTCCCAGATGATTTGCTTGATTCTGATGTGAATTGGTTAATCAAAAATCGAAATGAAACTGAGCTAACTGAACTGGATTGTCCTGACCTGAAAATATCCATGATTAAAAACAAATAAAATCAAAATATATAGAAAGATCAATTAATATAAACGAATTTAATTCAGCTAAGTTAAGGAAGCAGTTTCAAACTTTGCGTGCGTGTGAGCTGCACTGTTGGCTGGCGGGTGGAGGCTTGTTCCACATTCTCATTACAAATGTTATAGAAGACGCTCTTCTCATATAATCAACCATCCAATCAATCGACCAACCAACTATTCAATCAACCATTCAATCAACCAATCAATTAACCAACCATCCAATCAATCGACCATCCATCCAACCTACTGCAACACAGCAAGTGATAACGAGGGAGGCCTCGTTGTTTGACTTTCGAAGGTCAGACGTGCCCCCCCTCCTGCTCATCATCGACCGCAGGGACGACCCCATCACCCCACTCCTCAATCAGGTCGACATCAAATGATAGATGGATGGATGGATTCTTAGTTAGGTTTAAAATACTTTATCAATCATTGTCAACATCCCCCTCATGGTGATGGCGAGCAGTGGACCTACCAGGCCATGTTACACGAGCTCCTGACCATCAGCAACAACAGGGTGAACCTCTCGCACGTGAGCAGCATCCCAAAAGACATGCATGACCTCGTTCTATCTGCTGACCATGATGAGTTCTATAGTGCGGTTGGTCGGTTGGCTGGCTGGCTGGTTTGTTGATTGGTTGGTTGGTTGGTTGATTGATTAATTAATTATTGGTTTCAATAAGCTTTGATATTGACTGACTCATCTTAAACATGACTTCATTGCATCATCATCCAACCAGCCAGTACTTCTCATCTCATCGTATCGCATCACGCCATCCTACCAACCAACCACACCAACACCACACAGAACATGTACAACAACTTCGGCGAGATTGGTCTGAACATCAAAGAACTCGTCGACGACTTCCAAGTGAAGTCCAAGAGCCAGGCCAAAGTGGAATCCATCGCTGACATGAAGGTGAGCACGAAAACAACGATAACAAATTGTAGTAACAACATTAACCTGTCGAAACAAACAACATTCATTTCGGGCTTCAGAACTTCATAGAGACGTACCCGTCCTTCAAGAAGATGTCTGGCGCAGTATCGAAGCACGTGACTCTCGTGTCTGAACTGTCACGTCTTGTGGCTCAGTACAACTTGATGGATGTGTCCGAGTGCGAGCAGGAAGTGGCCTGCCACGATGACCACTCGCAATCACTTCAGGTTGGCTGGCTGGCTGGTTGGCTGGCTGGTTGTTTGATAAGGGAGGGGATTTTCTTATAAAGTGAATTTTTTACATGTAAACTGCAGAAAATTCGTTCTTTGTTGCACAATGCAAGCATTCGCAACTTGGATGCAGTCCGCCTGGTGATGTTGTACACGCTGAGGTACGAGCGGCACAGCAATAACGATATTTTCGGGCTGGTTGGAATTCTGAGGAAGAGGGGTGTTCAGGAAGAATGGATCAAGGTCAGTGCATCACTCAGTTGCACCATCCGTGAAACTAATTATCATAAATATGTATGACCTCGTAGCTCGTGAACTCGATCTTGGACTATGGAGGTCAGAAAGTGAGAACCAGTGAACTTCTGGAGTCACAGATTCCCATCAACATCACTAAGAAGTTTCTCAGGGGTCTCAAGGTTGTTCGTTATTATTATCATTCCTATATCATATTCTTTGTTATATAATTTAACAATTCATTAAACATATGAAAACTTAGAAACCAACCATCACGAAATGACATGACGTAACACGAAATGACATCATGACATGACTCGAAATAACCAAGCATGAATGATGGAAAACAGGGTGTAGAGAACATTTACACGCAACATCAACCGGTCCTCATCAGCCTGCTTGAACAACTTCTGAAAAACAAACTGAAGGAAAGTAGCTTTCCGTACTTGGGTGCTAGTCATCTGAGAGAAAGGTAGGCGGAGTCTCATTATTGATTGACTGACTGATTGGTTGATTGATTAGTTGATTGATTGAGGACTGGATGAAAGAATCATAACGGTTTCATTCATCAGATTAACGTTCGCCGTCATCATCACGGCAGACCACAGGACATAATAATATTCCAAGTTGGCGGGACGACATACGAGGAATCGAGTTCAGTACACAATTTCAACAAGATGTACTCGAACAACCGAATTCTTCTGGCCTCAACCTGCCTACATAACTTTAAGAGGTTCGCCATTTTTTATATTTCAAAAACTGTTTTTGCATAGAGATTGAAATATAGATACGTGTCATTATACACCTCGTTAACGCAGATATAAAAATTTTCGGCGTCTGTTAACTAACTGACAGTGACGGATCTAGTCAGTAAAACTCGGTTTTGCATATGTAAAACAACATTTTATGTAGAAAATCGACAAAAAGTTGACGTACTCTTAATTTTAGGTACACAACCACAAATTTGGTTAGTTTATTGGCCTGCCGTCAAATTTTTAAGTTTAAACATTTTAAAAAATTCGACACCGCCCCGTTGAAATTGTATTCAGTTTCCTTGAAGAGGTTGATGCGGCCACGAGATATTCATTGAGAGGAGCGAGTAATAACAATTAACATTACATTCCTAACCACTTTTGAATTACTGACACAACTTCAGAGGAGTGATCGACACACGTTGAATCTACAAGCTTGCTGATTTATACTCATCTAATTTATTCAATAATTATGTAATTGTATTGGAAAACAATATTTTTGTTTTAAAGTTTATTTCAAATAAAGTCGAAACCCGATAAACTGGCTTGTTACAAATATAAAACTCAAATTGAAATGAAATTACAATATAAAATAGACGATTAAGTAGAGTAGATTGTTTGAAATTTTATTTCACATAGTTTAAGGTTTGTTTTTCGAAAGTTGAAAGAGTAAAAATTGAAAATACGAACAACATGCATGGTATTATTAGCGAGGAAGTCAAAAAGAAAGAGATAAAGTTTCAAATATCAATATATTCAGATGATTTTGACCGGTAACTTAACTGGTCACACAGCCGGCGAATCAAATTGTGTAGCAACCACCAACTAAATTACAAGTTACTATAAGTTACTATATTAATAAGTATTTATTACTAACTAGCAGAATGTAGTAGCAGTGTGAAGTGGTGCAGTTGTAGAGTTGATAATATCTATTAACGATAGAGAGTCTGGCTTTTTGTACAAAAAAATATTGATAAACAATAAAAATGTATTAAAAAGATATCATAAAATAAATAATGTCTCGTGTTCGTCGTATTGAAATGAAAAGCAGCAGAAATGGAAAAAGCCTTGCACGGTCTCATGATCCAGGTGATTTGCACGCATGCGTCTCAGAACTGACGCTGTCCCAAAGTTGAGAGGAACCGACGGGGCACAAACAGCGCTTATGAATACGTGTCAGACGACGCATCACACACAATACATGTGGTAGGTGGGAACCCTCTGTCGTTTTCGAACCAGATCACTGCGAAACAGGACCTGACAACCTTAACCGGTAGGCCATCACGACGCCCCTTGGTGGCGCGAAATGAAGTGAATGCAAACACCAAAAAATCTAAATGCTACAAGATAACACGTTTATAAACTGCAAATATAAATACAAGTTGGACGCAGGCCAAGCACACAACCCACAAATTTATAAAAACACGTGAGTGAATGAATCATGGAACTGATAAAAAACTATTTTCATATGGTTAACTGAGAAGGTGTAAGTCTTTAAACTACGAACATTGAATTAAATTGAACGGATAGATGAACTGACTGGTAGATGGATGGATGGATAGAAAAATATTTGACTGGAAGGATAACGATTGGATGGATATAAACTCTTCAACATAAATTTTAATATTCAAGGATACGATAGTTGTATGAATCTGGAGACAATTAATTATCCCTAAATTGGGCAGTACCTACAACAGTGCGTTCAATTAATTACATAATTAATCAGTTAATTAATTAATTACGAAATGCCGATTTACAATGAGATACGCAAGTAAAAGTTACACGATATAAATGTTCGTTCATGTTGTTTAGGGTTAGGGTTAGGTGAAAAGGTGATTGTTCGTTCTGGTATGCTGCTTGATTAGATATAAATATCATAAAATTATTATAAAGTGCAAAAAAATGCTTTATAAACATTGTTTTAACGTTTGTCCGAACGATAACATAATACTGAAACAACGTGTCAACTATAAATAAGTAGTTGCAAATCAAAAGCAAAAACATCACACGTTGTCACGCGTCATTCTATATATGGTCACGCATAAATTAACTCTGATTAATAATTAGTGCCTCGGGGCCAAATGAATATTGATGAGGTAGGCGTGGTCACTTGCACCACTTACAATGGCACTTCCTTATGACTGGCATGTCATGGTCCATCTGACTGCCATCCCTGCAGTACAGCCGAACTTTTCTCGTTTTTATTTTGCGAGGCTGACAGGATACGATAGTTGTATGAATCTGGAGACAATTAATTATCCCTAAATTGGGCAGTACCTACAACAGTGCGTTCAATTAATTACATAATTAATCAGTTAATTAATTAATTACGAAATGCCGATTTACAATGAGATACGCAAGTAAAAGTTACACGATATAAATGTTCGTTCATGTTGTTTAGGGTTAGGGTTAGGTGAAAAGGTGATTGTTCGTTCTGGTATGCTGCTTGATTAGATATAAATATCATAAAATTATTATAAAGTGCAAAAAAATGCTTTATAAACATTGTTTTAACGTTTGTCCGAACGATAACATAATACTGAAACAACGTGTCAACTATAAATAAGTAGTTGCAAATCAAAAGCAAAAACATCACACGTTGTCACGCGTCATTCTATATATGGTCACGCATAAATTAACTCTGATTAATAATTAGTGCCTCGGGGCCAAATGAATATTGATGAGGTAGGCGTGGTCACTTGCACCACTTACAATGGCACTTCCTTATGACTGGCATGTCATGGTCCATCTGACTGCCATCCCTGCAGTACAGCCGAACTTTTCTCGTTTTTATTTTGCGAGGCTGACAGCACATCTTGTTCATGTTCGCCTTCCTGTTGTTGCTGTTGTTGTTGTTGTAATAATTGTTGCTGTGTTTGTAGTAGTGGTTGTCGTTGTTGGGGTTGGGGTTAGGGAGGGCTGCATGCTGACAGGAACCGCTGCAACGCCTGTGCTTCACTTTCTTCCTCGAAGAACATTTGGTCCGGGGGTCCACGTACACGTCCCTGTACTCGAGGGCCTGGCAGGTCAACTCTGCTGGTTGTTCGTGCGTCAGGTCGGGGTTTTATTCATTTATTATGGCGGTGGTTGTGTGTAGATTTTGTTTATATTGCATTTATCAAAATTTAAACTGGGTCAAACTTCCGAAGCGGGGCACGTTTGTCGGCGGAGGCATCAGGGCGTCCTCGTCACGTGATCCATCTTTAATTGGGTCAAGGTCGACTGAACGATAATGGCGACGATTATAATTTCAAATATTAAATTAAATTTTTTTAAATATTGTTACATCATGAAAAGAAAAACAAATGCCTTCATCGCAGAGGAGTCCGGAGAAACCTTGCTGGCAGATGCATTGGAACCTTCCCGCGTCCAACGCTGAACATCTGCCGTGTTTGCACGACACATTGAAACATGCATCATTATAAATATTGTTTATGTTGTATTTGCTTTTGTTGTTGTTGTTTTTGTTGTTGATGTTGTTGTGTTTCTTGAAGTTTAGTTGGCTGTAATTAATTTTGTTGTTCTTATTGTGGTGGAGTGAGTCGTGGAGTGAGTCGTACTGATGGTCTCGACTGTTGCTGGGACCGTCCAACCGGGTCGATGGCGAGGCAGGGCTGGCAGTCTCGAAACAGCCGGGCTGAATTTTCAACTGAGAATGAACGAGGCTGAAGTCGATCGGTCGGTTGTTGACGATCATCTTCTTCAAACAGCCTGATAACGATTGCCATCATGTTGTCATTATTATTTTGATTCAAATTCAATGACGCGATATATATATAATGTTCATACGATCCATGAATGATGAGTCCTCCCATTGGCTCACCTGTGAAACTGTCAGTCCTTCTGATCTGCCACCTCTTCATAAGCTCCTCCTTCAATCCAGAAACCACGCCCCCAACGTAAATTAACTCATTCTCCAGCTTCAACTCGTTCATCGATCCTTCGTTCATGATCGTCTTCCCAGCTCCTCCGTCCACCAACATCGTCAGGTTCTTGCCGTGCGTCACTATTTCCAACTGTGGTGGTGATGATAATGATGGGGTGGTGATGATAATGATGGGGTGGTGATGATAATGATGGGGTGGTGATGATAATGATGGGGTGGTGATGATAATGATGGGGTGGTGATGATAATGATGGGGTGGTGATGATAATGATGGGGTGGTGATGATAATGATGGGGTGGTGATGATAATGATGGGGTGGTGATGATGATGATGGGGTGGTGATGATAATGATGGGGTGGTGATGATAATGATGGGGTGGTGATGATAATGATGGGGTGGTGATGATAATGATGGGGTGGTGATGATAATGATGGGGTGGTGATGATAATGATGGGGTGGTGATGATGATGATGGGGTGGTGATGATAATGATGGGGTGGTGATGATGATGATGATGATAGTCTAGCGATGGTGACGATGATTATGATGATGAAGATATGTAAATGAAGATGATGAAAATTAAGACCTGATGCAACTTGCCATCGCTGATGGTTTCATAGCTGAACATGGTTGAGGTGGGATTGTTGCCCACATTCCAGCCCACCCTCACCCTGCCCATGAAAATTTCAACCACCATGTGGACGTCACCTTGACCTTGGTAGAGCAAGATCCCCGATGAACTGACGGTCGATAGCTGCAAGGTGATATTGTTACTGGTCGGACGCAGTTGTTCATGGTGGTGCTGGTGGTGTTGATTGTTATGATGGTGTTGTTGAGTTTGTTGTTGTTGATGATGATGATGAAGATGATGATGAGGAGGAAATGGAAGAAGAATGCTTGGAGGCAGTGCCACAAACGATTCGGCATCCCCGATGAATGTCAGACTGGTCAACTTCTCGCACTTCTTCCCCTCAAAACCTGGTTTGTTCATTTGGAGATGATCATTTCATCAGGTTATCATCATTCATTGCATTCAGTTTCAATCATCATTTCCATCACCACTGACACCTTCACAGGCATCAACACTCTTTTATCACTGACGTCATCATTCCTCTTTTACAATCATTCTCATCGCCATCTTCGCTAACCATTCGCACATTTGCAGATATACTCCATGTTGTTGTTGTTGTTTGAAGATAGTTGTTGTTGTTGTGGTTGTTGCGGCAGACAGAGGCCAGCGTTCTTGCAGTCGTGTTGTTTGCAGGCTCCCTGCATCAGCTGATCTCGCATGGCGATGTAGGCCACTTCACAGTACCTCCCTTGGTGGCCAGGACTGCACGTGCATCTGCGCGTGGTGTCGCGTCGTGTGGTGAGATGCCGGGTGGTGTGGTGTGGCGTGGTGCGGTGGGAGAGGAAATTTTAATTTATCATCCTCATCAACTACAACAACAACGTCATCGCCAATCAGCAGCGAAAAATACTTGTACGAGTTGACAGCATCTTCGCACGTGGCTCCATTCTGGCAAATGTGGAAGAGGCAGTCGTCAATGTCTTCTGAACAGTTCAATCCTGTGTAGCCCGGTTCACATTGGCATCTGTGTGTGTAAGAGAGAGAAAGAGAGAGAGAGAGAGAGAGAGAGAGAGAGAGAGAGAGAGAGAGAGAGTTTTTCGTGTAAGTGTGTGTATTTTGGCGAGTCATAATATTATAAAATCAGCACAATATTGTTATGAGCATGCAGTTTGTTTAAAATAATTCTCACTTGTAACTGCTGCCCGCATGGATGGGCAGGCACTTTCCACCATTCATGCACGGGTTCGATTCCGTGCAGTGCTCAATCTTCCTCTCGCAGTAATCCCCTTCAAGTAATTGTATCTCCATCATCAGGATCATAATCATCATCAGTCCATCATCATCATAATGCATCATGATCATCATCATCACCATCATGAACAGCAGACCTGAATAGCCAGGCAAGCAGCGGCAAGTGTATCCGAGAACGCCATCAATGCAGGTGGCGTCGTTGAGGCAGCTGTGTCGCTGGCAGTCGTCAACATTCAACTCGCACCACTCCCCTTCAAACCCGGCCAGGCATATGCATCTGCAACAACGTCATCTTCATCATCATCATCATTATCATCATCATCATCATCATATGCATCTGCAACATCATCATCATCATCATCATCATCATGACAACTCGCCTGGTCCTTCCGTAATCATCCACGACCTCACACCTCCCCCCGTTACTGCATGGATCGCCAAAGCAGGCGTCAACCACTCCACTGCAGAGCTCGCCGTGGTAGCCCGGCAGACAGGTGCATCTGACCAATCAGTCAATCAATCAATCAGTCAATCAATCAATCAGTCAGTCAGTCAGTCAGTCAGTCAATCTAAAAATATTTAATAATTCAACCAAAGGATCTTCTAAATGACCGATCGAATTAAAAAGTGAGCCATTTCGATCAAACAGACAAATTGTCAAGTTTTAAACAAACATTCCACTGCCAGCTTAAACAAGCACACACACACATACACGCACACACACACACACACATGCACGCACGCTAACTTAAACTGGTGAATTTTCTCAGGCTGACAGGTTCCTCCATTCAGACATGGCTCACTGTAGCAGGCGTTACACTTCGCTAACACACTGTTGTCTGCGTTCTCTTTAAAATTCATGAATATTAATGAGCGGCTTTATGAATATTTATGAGATGGTTAACCGATAAATAATAACGATAAAAATGATTGGTTGATGGGAGGGACAGCACAGCGAGTAAGAAATGATAATGAAGGAGCGAACCGTAGCATTGAAACTTGGAGGAAGGTGTGGTGAGCAGCAGTTTGTTGGCCATGTCGTCGGGCCCCACACAACTGGCGATGCCCGGCTCCTTGTACCCCTCCTTGATCCAATCAGACAACCACTTCAAGTTGCAGTCGCAATACAAGGGGTTCCCGCCCAACGCTCTGTCACGCGATTGGTCGGCAGGTTGATTGGTCGATTGATGATTGGTCGGTTGATGATTGATTGGTTGAGTAATTAATTGGTAGGTTGGATGTAAAAAAAATGAATGAATAAATGAAAGACAAATCAACTGTTTGAGCGAAATGTAACAGGAAAATGAATGAATGATGAGCTAACAAATGAGTGAGGGACAGGAGGTCCTTGAAGGAGCCATAAGGAATGGAGGAAAGGTCATTGCCGTGTAAGGAGCTGATGAATGTGTGTGTTTGTGCGTGTGTTTGTGCGTGTGATTTATGTGTTTATTCGTTCGTGGTTCGTTAGTTTGATTGTTTGTTCAAAAAATCTTTATTCATTTCTTCAAACAATTAATCAAGTCATTCATTCAATCATTCGTTTGTCGGTTTGTCTATTCCTTCATTCACTCTTTTTTCATTCTTTCATTCCTTAACTCATTCATTCCTTCATTCCTTCACTTACTAACAGGACTCTAAGATTGTGCAGTTTTGAGAAGGTTGTCTCTTGGACACATTGCAACTTGTTGTAACTCAAAATCCTGTGAATAGTGAACGACAACATCAACAACGACAACATCAACAACGACAACAACAACAACAACACACACAACAACAACAACACACAACAACATCAACAACAACTGACAATGTGTTGAGATTCGTCAGGTTTGCAAAGGCGTTCTCTGGCAGGGATACAAATTTGTTGTTGCTCAAATCTCTGTTCAAATTGATGAAGATGATGATGACGACGACGACGATGCTGATGGAGTAATGATGATGATGGTGATGATAATGATGATTGTGGTAGTGGTTATGATGATGATCTAACAAGCTTGTCAATTTCTTGAGGTCATTCATATCTCTTGGTAGTTCGCTGATCGAGTTTACATCCATGTAGCTGCGTGAATGAGTGAATGAATAGATGAATGAATTAATGTACGAGTGATTGAGTGGATGAATAATGATTTAATATATAACTGAATGAAACATAAATAAATAAAAACACTAATTGCTAATTCTTCGGCAAATAAAGAGATGGAAGAGTGATTAACTTTATCTCAAACCGAGTGAAAAAATAAACAAAAAGTAGGAAATTTGCCATCCGCACCATCAACATCACATCAACAACAACACGTCAACAACATCACCAACAGTTCAGTAACATCGGTGGGCAAGTTCTCAGGGAAGCTGGAAAGGTTGGCCCTGGAGCACCTGACCTCACCCCCGTGGCACTTGCAGGGTTCGGGGCAGATCATCCTTCTGTCACATATGTTGTCGTCTGTTGCATGTGTTCGTGTGTTTGTTTACATGTTTGCGTAGCTGCATGTTTGTGTTTATCTGTGTGTGTGTGTGTGTGTGTGAGAGAGAGAGAGAGAGAGAGAGAGTGTGTGTGTTTCATTATGATTGCCAAATCTTGGCATAAAATAATATTCATTTATTATTATGTCACATACTTGAACACACACACACACACACACACAAACATACACACACACATAACACACACACACACACACACAGACAAAAACACAAATAAATTTGAACAACATTTTTAGTCAGTCAATGTTTGCTTTATAACTTTTTGCATTAATTTATCTGCTTGTTTGTTTGTTTTTTGGTATGAATGTTTGTATAATTTTTGTATGTTTACGCTTTTTTCTTTCTCTCTCTTTTTCTCTCTCTCTCGCTTTCTCTCTCTTAATCTATTTTTCTCTCTTATCAAATTCATGAACGATCCATCTATTTGAACAAACAACAATTTGTTGCAAAATGACAGAAAGATGAATGAGAGAATGTACATCTTTTTAAATGAGTGAAGGAACGAACGAGCGAATGAATGAATGAACGAACGAACGAATGGATGAAAAATAATGTTCTGGCATCTGTGGAGCAAATTGTAAACAAACCACCTAATGGCCTGGTGTTTTATGTGAAGGGAAACATATTGAACGAATGCTGTGTGGCGATGTGTGATGATGATATGTGTGATGAAGACAATGGAAACGTAATCATAATGACGACGCTGTAATTAATAACAATTATAACGAGAACGACGACGAAGACGACGACGATGATGATGATGAGGTGGATGATGATGAGGAAGATGATGATGATGAGGAGGAGGAGGAGGATGAGGTTGCAGTTTTTATTTTAGATGGTGACGAGAGTCGAATGACTTGAAAATGACGATGTTCGGACGAAAATTTATTTCCAAATGAACAAAACATGCCAGTCACTTTTCAAAATAGCTCATGTGTCTGTCTGCATGCATGCATGCCTTTCTTTGTACGCGCAACCATACAAATGTCCGTCTGTCTGTCTCTGTCTGTCTGTGTTTGCGCGTGAGTGTTCGCGTGTGCTGCTGATTTATGCAAATTAATAAGGAAGATTGCAGACTTGTGCTCTGATTTATAATACTCTCATTAGAGTTTAAATGTTCATTTTTTTCTTTCCTTCTCTCTTTCTTGCATTTTCATTTTTCCATCTTTTATTCTCTATCAAATCCTTCTGACAACAACAACAACAACAACATCACAACGACAACAACAACAACATCACAACGACAACATCACAACAACAACATCACAACAACGACCCACCGATTCCCTCAGTAGCACAACAGGGCGATGGACCGTTGGAGCAACTTGCCTCATTGTTGAACACTACTCGTTTAATTTTTATTCATAAGTTACCTCGTTAATATTCATGAATTAATTTGATACATATTCATAACTTGAAATAACTATTTTGAAAGAATGTTCCAAATTCTTGGTAAACCTTCGCATTTGAAATCTCCCGGTTTTAATTGGCTAAGAAGAAATCCCTTGAATCTGACTGGATAGAAACAACTTGGAACCTCCAATTGGACACGTTTGTTGTTGTTTTTGACCAACCAATCACGGAACCAAGAAATGTGGCAGTTGCAATTCAATTCATTTGACTGGAGGTTACTGTATGAGGATAAAATATCTTGTTCGTTGTTGTTTGTTTCTATTAAATGATCATCTCAAAGACGTCACAACATAAAAACATCTGCAAAGTAGCACAGATGAACGAACATGGTGATGAAGTTGTTGAAGTAGTCGAAGGAACCCTCCTCGATGCATCGAATTTGATTGCCGTAGAACGACCTGCGTTGTTTTAAAATAATGTTGGAGATGCTTACAACTCTCAACAAACATTTCGACAACATCAAACAACATCCACAAAGGCTGCTGACATTGAAGTATCGCCATGTTAATATCTTATTAGCGTTACCGTAAACTCTTTTGATGCTGAGTAGCGATCTTGATTACTCCGATTATTGCTGCCAACACTTTTGAGCCTCAAGTGGACATATTTTTATCACTGACCGTTCCAATTTTTAAAGTTCAGGGCGTTAAATTGCAATTAAATTTCAAAATCAGTCGCGATTTATTTTGCATGTTTGTATTTGGAGACGCTCATGTTCTTTTGGGAGGTTTAAAAACTATAAGGCACTGTTTAATCTTTTGATTAATAATTCTTTCATCTTTCAAAAAGCAGTTGATTTATAAAATGAAAATCATCATTTTTTAAAATTTCATTTGTAGGCAATGAGTTTATGAAATAAAAGTCAAAAAATTGCTCTTCTTCGTTTGAAAACATAACATAATGAATGGTCTTGACTTCTTTGCTGCTCCGAGGCTTTCAAATCTCAAACTTCGGTCCTGGGCTTAAATATTCGTTTCAACTTGCTTCAAATTTGATGACTCAAACGAACCAATCGTTACACAATTTATTCATTTCATATATCAACAAACGAATGTGTTGTGATAGCTTCGCTTTCATTTACGCATCAACGTTTTAAAAGGTATTACTGCTGGTATCCTCTGGTGCTTCTAGAAGCCGGTACTTATAATGGCGACACAATTTTAGAGCACCGTTAACAACCCTGACACACACACGCACACAGCGGGAGATGAAACATTTTGTTCCGATTGCAACACAAACAACAACAACAGCAGCAACAACAGCAAAAACATCACGGACGTTTAAAAAATCAACAACATCCAACTTTAATGATGTGGTAGACGCTATTAAAATGTTGGAAGAGATTAAAAGAGATGAAGAAGAAGAAGATGATGAGGATGAAAGGAATGATTAAACTTTTTGAATTTAATTTTGAAGGATTGTGAGAGAGAGAGAGAGAGAGAGAGAGAAATGCCAGGCTGTCGTAATGATTCTTCTTAATGGATTGTGAAGCCATCTTAATACTTCGGAGGGTTATGATGATGATGCTATTGTTGTTGATGATGATGACGATGACAGCTGCAAAGAACCGTTCAAATTGAATTAATAATAAATTCTTTTCTTCTTTATCTCTATTGCATTCAAAAGTTTCGAAGTCTTTATATTCGGAAAATTAAAAAGTTCTACCAAATTAAAATAGCACTACCGCTACTACTACAACTACCACTACTACTACTGCTACTACTGCAGCTACTAACATAAACAACAACAACAACAACATCTAGATGACTAACAAATGCTGAAGGCTGACGAGCGGTCTGTACGTCTGGTTGTTGATGCAGTTCAACCTGTTGGACCTCAGCATGCTGCAGACGTCCATTTATTATCAATACAGTCGTTATTATTGTTATTGTTGTTATTATTATTATTTATCATCAGTGTTTTCAAGTATTTGGAGTATTTAAATACCGAATTTTTGCCAAATTTTAGCGGACTGACTCAACATTTGCATATTCTAACAACTCTGTTTCACATATTATTATTGTGGATGGATGATGAAGGCTAGTGTGATCTATATTAAACAAATAAAAACAAGCAAACAAACAAAAAGAAAGGAAATGAACGAACGAACGAACGAACAGTGTTTTGAGGTTTTTGAGTCCTTTGAAAGTTGTAGGTGAGAGTGAAGAAATGCTGTTGTCGTTCAGTTGCCTGTTGTGATGGTATTGTGTTGTGTGCGTGTGTTTTGTTGTGTGTGAGTTATATATATACGTAAAATTCTTTTATCGTTACTTATTTTAGTATATCTTAGTTCAAAAACATCCTATTGCTGCAATTTTTATTAGCAGTTGTTTAATTAATAATGCTATGATTATTGCAATGGTTGATCATTGAACTAATTGTAACTTACAGCTCTTCTAATTGGTTGAGGCCTTCGAATGCCTCCTCCTCGATGAACAGAATCTTGTTGTTGCACAGGTCCCTATTGGTTGTTCATGTGGCGGTATGTTTCATGGAGGTGTTGATCAGTTACGTGATTGGATGGCGGTGAGGAATTTTTAATTGTGGGTTAAATAATGCGTAAGCAACTACTATTGGTTCAAAAATAATCACAAGCTCCTCCCACTAACAATTTTTTCAGATTTTTCAGTTTGTTGAACCATCCGACTTTTACGGTCTCGATCAAATTATCAGATAATTTCCTGCAACAAACCATCGAGGTTATTTTTGTCCTCATCATTTTCATCATCGCCATAACCATCATCATCACCACCTTCATTTCGTCGTCCTCATCAAATTTACTTCAATTTCCACAAGCGATCTGAGAGATAACGAAAGTGAAACTAACAATTCTTCAGTGGATGTTGGGATTTTCCAGGGAACGACCTTCAACTTTTTGGCACTGCAGTCCACTTGAACGCCACCACCACCACCGGCAGCAGCAGCAGCACCGTGTTGGTGTCCATGGTGACACGTGCACTCAGCAGGACACTCGTCGTCGGGCACGCATTCCTCGTTCGCTCGCCGAGATCGTTGCAGCTCGGAAGCTGTTGTCATCATCACCATCATCATCACCATCATCATCACCATCATCATCATCACCACCATCATCATCATCACCATCTCA